ACATGGAATCATAGAACAAGGGCGATGCAAGCAACAGATTAACCGCCTGGCACACACACACACACACACACACACACACACACACACACACACACACGTGCATGCATGGAGAGAACCTGCAGGTGCTGCAGAAGATGACTGTCAGATGAGAGCGAATGAAAGCACACCTGGAAAACAGCGAACGCTCTCTCATTAAATTTACAAAGCAGATAATAAAAACACAACAAAGCTTCTTATCAGAGAGCAAATACAGACGGAGTAAAACAGTAAAATCTGATATCATTCATCTCTCTCAGTCCTTATCTGCTGTTTGTTTTTCCTCTGATGGATTCACCTTCTGCACAAAGCGAGGCCACATTTGTCAGCAGAACTTAATAATGAGGCAAATTTAGACTTCCAGAACCCGACTTCACTTTCAATCCCAGGTTTTCAAAAGCAGTATGTGCTCCCCTCCCCCCTCAGGCGCCGGCAGATGCTTTGCTCTGTGAAGGTGTACGTCTGCCAGACTCCCCGATGCATAACTCCAGGCCCAGCGTCAGCGGGCCCACATGACTGAAGGAAAAAAGCGTCTGTGAGGATATTAACGGGGTTGTGCAGAAAACTTTTTCTCTTTGAAGAATAAAGTTTTGCACCTCTGAGTAACATCAGTAAAAGACAGAACATACCAACCAGCCGCAGCAGAACCCAGTGTTTCCTTCAGCAGACTGATCAATATGTCCAGCAGCTACTTAGAAAAACAAATGGCCTGTCATTTCCTTTCAGCCATTGTAACGCACGTACACGCGCTGAATAATTGAACTGATCGAGGCCTATCATGTTCTGCTTACTTTTTAGCACTTCAAAAGGTGGCATTCATTATTGATCGAAGTTCTGCAAACAATTTACTTTCATCTGCTCCATAATTCAGAGCTCCATTCCCTTTCAATTTGTATTATTTTCCTTTGAGATCCTCGGGTTTCTTGAGCAAATCAAGGCGTAACCATGACGAAATATCTGGCTCAGGTGACCTGGGGGAGCAGGAGAGCGCAACTTTGAAATGTAAAATTTATTTCTCCGAGTCACGCCGGGTTGTTCTCAAGGTTGCTCTAATCCGCTCCAGCTGCAGTGAACTCAGCTGGAGGCCGGCGTGAAATGGAAATGTTACAGCTGGCAGGTGTGTGTGTGTGTGTGTGTGTGTGTGTGTGTGTGAGGAGGAGTTTCTGCAGGGCTCTGGTCCTTCTGGTGGACGAAGTGATAAACATGTATTGATCCACATGATGCGATCGATGCACCAGCGTTCCTCCCTCTTTCACACACGTGAGCATAACAGAGTTTCAGAACCACAAACTGCTGTCGGCGTCCATCAGCGGCCGGGCGTGGCGGCGTGGCGGCGTGGCAGCGTGGCGGCGTGCTGCAGCTGCTCTTAATGCTGCTGATTTTCAGGACGAAGCAAACATAAAGGATCAAACATGACTCAGGTTTCAGTTTGTAGCAGAAAAAGAGAAAAAGAGGCCATAAGTGGGTTTCTGCTTTGTGAGATATTAGATTTGCGTCAGTGCAGATGTCAACCTGTGCACTCCGGTGTCACCAGGGAAGGTTTTAAAGAAGCCATTAGGTTCAGTGGAGGAGGATAAGATTCTATATCAGTGTGGATAATTTCACGCCTCAGAACTGAAGGCAATGGGTTCAAGCGCCCAGGATCTGGAACGGTAACATCCGGCACCGCTATCAGCGTTTTCAAATCCAAATTAAAGACTCATCTTTTCTCCGTTGCTCTCAGTTCTTCCTGAAGCTGCTCGAGTCACTTTCAGGTGGTTTTTATCACCTCGCTGCTCCGTATCGATCGGTTTCCTGATTTCACTGTTTTGCTCTTGTACATGATTTCTAATCCAGCTGATGTTCTTCTACAGAGATCCTGTCCTATAGATGTACTCACATGTTAATACTGGAGGTTTATGTGATTCTGGTCGTGCATTTATACGCTCTATTACATGTTTGTGCTTCGTCCTCTCCGTCCTCCTCCAGGTTTGGTCTGGTTCCACCAATCTGCCCAGAGGGTAAATTCTCTTGTTTGTTGTTTGTTTGTCCTGTTCTGTCCCCTTTAACCTCAGACGGCGGACCTCCTTCAGCCCGGTTCTGCTGGAGGGAAGTCTTCACTTCGCTGTTGCCAGTACAATCCATTATAAGGAAATCTTTTGCTTTTCCATGAACAGGGTCTTAACTTTCATTGTTAAATGAGTTAGATAATTTGTTAAATTATCTAACTTTAGCAGTCAGTCTGACTTGAATTCTAAATATTTTTGTGGGGTTTTAACTTTATTATTTAAATTACTCAGATGAATCTACATATTAAAAAAACACTGCTGGGTCTTTAGTTCAATATTTGTTAAATTAAATGTAGATAAAATAGAGAGATACAGACAAACAAAAAGTATAATATACACACACACACACACACACACACACACACANCAATTAACCTCAGCATGTTTCTGGACTGTGGGAGGAAGCCGGAGAACCCGGAGAGAACCCACGCTGCACGGGGAGAACATGGAGACTCCACGCAGAACTTTCCCTGGAGTCCTACCTGGGACACGAGTCTTCCGGCTGTGAGGCGGCGGCGCTAACCACCGCGGCGCTGTGCAGCCCAGCAGGACATTAATCATGTTACTGGTGACGCTCGCTGTGCTCAGTGAACAGTTTGTAAAAATGCATCACAGCTTAAAGTATGTCGTCTATATTACCCACAATCCAACTGAACCAACAGCAGCTTGGTCTTAAGTTCATGTTTTAAACTGCTGTATTTATATTATTATTATTTTCCTAAGATGATAAATTTCCATCGACCACTTTCACAGCATGAACTGACTCTGGTCCAGATCCACCGAGGACCTTGAACCCCTCGTGTCCCTGGAGGTTCTCTCAGACCTGGTGACCTTCAGGTGAACTAGAGGGACCCAAACATTCTGGTGACACCTTTCCTGCCTTTTAAATCTCTCCCTAAACGATCTTCTGTCAGAAGGCCTCTATGAACGTGTGATGTTTCTGTTTCTGATCGTTCTAATGATCTTTGTTCTTTAATCTCTGGCTGATTTATGAGCTCTGTGTGTTTTTCCGTTCATTCTTAGTGACTTAATGAGTCTTTTCTAATTAACTTTCTGTTTGTGTTCATCACTTTTATAACTTATATGTGAAGTTTACGACCATAATATGTTAAATTCAGCTTCCTGTGTGTGTCTCTCTGCCAGATGTTACGGCAGCCGAGCAGCACCAGGCCTCGTAACCGTGGCGACGCTGCATCGGTGATGCTGAGAACACGTCATTGGTCACCTGTGTGAGCCTCAGTAGTGCTGGTACTAGTAACAGTCACAGAGGTACATGAATGACACAGAACCTCTGGTTTACAGATGGACACCTAAAGCAGATCAACTCTGTGTGTTCTGGTGTGATCGGGTTGTTCTGTGTGCCGACTCACTTTCTGAAGGTGGGTATGGATCCCTGCAGAGAGCGACCAGGCGACGTCCCCGAGCCGTGGCTCTGCCCCGACAGCAAACTGTCCGTTTCGAAGGCGAACATCCCGTCGCGGTCGTCAGGAACGTCCAGGAACTCGCCGTCGCTCCACATGCCCACCGTGCCGTCCATCGGCTGGTACCGGATCTCGATGGTGACGCTGGTCTGGACATGAACGGAAAGGTTGATGAAAGCTGGTTGAATAATTCACATCAGCTTCAGAGGCTTTGGAGGAGACGTATGAAAAGTGTTCATGAGTCAGATGATCCAGACCCGTCATCCTCCCCTCAGGTGCTTCCTTCTCTCCTCCGTCATCAGGTGCAGCGACGTCATGATGAACTCAGAACATGAAGTCTGATCACTGCCCTGGACTTTAATATAATTCATCTGTCTGATCAGAACGGGTCCGTCTGTGTTCTGATGAAGCTTGAGGAGCTCTGGTCTGGAGAACGTGACGAACACCTGATATCACAAAGTTCTAAACATGAATGAACTCTTATGATGCATTTGAAGCCACGACATTTCTGAGAAGATGAAGTTCTGCTGACGGTGCAGCTCTGAACCGTAGACATCCACCCGTCAGTCAGCAAAGAAAAACACATGAACTCTTTGATTTAAATGTGGATCCTGAAGCTTAGCGTAGAAAAGTCACCATCATGTGTTCACGACAGACTCTGGTTTACTGGGATTTACTGGTTTAAAACCAGAAACACTCGTTTTGACTGTTTTATAGACAGAATCTGGTAACTGTGATTTAAAAACTGTAATTCAGACACACACCTTTTATTGTTATTAGAGATGTTAGAAAGCTCTGCCTCCTGCAAAGTCACATCATTTATCAGAGCCAGAACCTGGAGAGGACGTGAGGGAGCGCTTAGATTTCCATGCTTAGGATCGGTCCCTGAACACATCATCTGTCAGGAAATAAGCTTAAAGTTGTGATATTGCATCAAAATCATTTTATTCTACGTGTTTATTTGGTAACTTTAACCCCAAAATTAGCAAAAAACAAACAAAAAATTCTGTCGCTTTTCTGACTGAACGGCAGCGAGATGAAAAAAAGACGTCATCGATAAAACAAAATAACACCTACAGTCAGGTGTGTTCACAGGCTGCCATTAGAGAAGGAAAAAAACAGCTGGAATAAGTTGAAACTGACCAAAGTAATAATCAATAAAATTTTAATGAACATCATGACGTTGGTTTGAATCGTGGTTCAAGAGAAATAATAAAAACCAGCATGTTGGGACCCGTGAACTAACATCTACCTGAACAGCCCTCTGAGCCAATCACTGCCATCAGGTGTTTCCTGTAACTCTCAGTCAGACTTCTCACCTGGTGACAGGTGTTCTGGTCCACTGCTCATCAGCAAAGGCCTCTCATTGGTCCACTGCTCATCAGCAAAGGCCTCTCATTGGTCCACTGCTCATCAGCAAAGGCCTCTCATTGGTCCACAACAGTTTTGTAAAATTATTTTTTTAATTATTCTTTTCAACCACAATTCAAAAGCAACGTCTGATTTCACTAAATTATAATTTAGCAAATTTTTATTTATTTGTACTTTTTTCAGTTTCTAGTTATTTGAGGGACTGTTGTGGATTTTGGGAAACCACATTTTAATTAATTTTTTCCAGTATTGTTAAAACCTGTGGACAAAAAAAATCATATATTTGGATTACTTTGGATTTTTTATTTTTTTTGAAAACAAATAAATTAAATGAAATTAAACTTTCATTTGTGCGTTTTATTTTTTAATTTTTAAAAATATAATTTATGGCAATATGACTTATGTTGACCTGCAGTTCAGACATTTTAACCTTCAATAAACTAAACTTTCATTTGTGCGTTTTATTAATAATTTATGACAATATAACTTAACTTCTCTGTACTTTCAGCCACATTCACATCATTTCCACAGACGTGCAGGATTTTATGTTCCAGTGAAAAACGACTGATTGAGTAAAAACGTGTGAACGAGGTTCCAACAGTTTAATACAGAAAAAGCTCTTAATAACAGCGGCGCTCTGGGCAGGATTATAAATCGCTCCTTCCTCTCGCCGTCAGCTCAGGGACTCAGAGTGAATCCCAAAGTGTTTGTTTAATGCCATCCAGAACCACGGGCGGCACCGCGGTTTGTCTTCTGGGTCCTTGGACGGATATGATCCTCCTGACGGCGACCCGCTCCTTATTACAGAGCAGCCAATTTATTCTGCTGGCAGAGACGGATGAGCAGCAGAACCGGTCGCTGCTGTTTCTCCTCCTTACATCCTCGTACAAGCTGGATCCACCAGGAGTCAGACGTGTTACCATGGCAACCACACAAGTGCAGGGCTGCAGTCAAAGCGTTGCTCTGAGGTTACGTCGGGTTTAGTTTTACGTTATTATTTTATTTCCGCTACAGGGATGTACAGTAATGACATCGCCTCGCTGTGTGTGGGTTTTACAGTCACATGTGTCTCCGTACATATGTGTGGAAACCTCCCCTCAGAGCTCTGCCCCCCCCCCCAGGGTGGTTTAAACCTCATACAGTCTTATTACCCCTCATACATCCTATGCTGCCCTCATTTCCACATGTTCCCACCGACGCTACTCATCCACCAGATCGTCCTGCTGATCCCAGCACGAGTCCAGATCAGTACTCCATATCTGGGTTGGTGTTGATGGGAACCGTCCTGGTGCTGGTTCTGGAGCTGCTGCTGCTGCTGCATGCCCTCCTGCCACCGCTGCAGGTGGATAAAGGTGGATTCCTGTTTCCTGCCCTCCTCCCGTCTGCTTGTGTAGCAACACGATTCATTTCAGCTCTGCTGCTGTAACGAGGCCTCATCGTTCAGAACAATCAACGGCTTGATTTAGCATAAGTGGGCTTTATCGGGCCTTCAGCGGAGCTCCACGGTGAAGCTCGGCGTGGAGCTCCGTGGTTCTGCGACTGCGCTGCTCTGTGGAATCTGTCCCACACGTTCTACGCATCATTTCCCTTCAGCTCATCCTGATCTGGCGTCTGTCTGGGATCTCTGTGGGACTCGCTTGTCTGGAAAATACAGCGTTTGTAGAAGCTGAACTAGTTTAATTCAAGAAGGACGCAGCATGTTTTACACACTAAAAAAATCTTACATTTTGAGGATTAAATTTAAAAAAAATATATATATTCTTTATTTTTAGAATATTTAAAACTGTAAATAAAATTACAGACATAGACTATATATGTAGATTTTTTTTTTTTTAAAGGTGAAATCCTGCAACTAAAAAAAAACAAACAAAAACAAACACATTTTAATTTATTTTTAGGAAAACAGACTTTTATTTTTTGNTAAAGACGTTCGAAAGTGTTCTGGCAAAATATACAATAAAAATGAATGAATTGAAGATGGAACTGATGTCTGTACGTTTGTGTTTCCAGACTGCGTCAGTAAGAACAATATGAAGGGATTTTACACTTTGTTTTGGAGAAAAGCTCCATTACTAAAGCCCACATCTTTGTCCTGCATCAGGAAAAATAAACAGAAATTTGAGAAGGGAATAAAAGAAATGCTGAGGAAGTAAATAGATTTAGTGCTGAAATCAGGAGAGGAAGAAGACAGAGGAGGACTGATTTGAGCTCAGCGTGTCCATGTGAATTTTAAACAGTCTTATCTTCCTCAGAGGAGCTACAGCACAACTCAGAGCAACCTTATAGATAAAGCAGCGTAAAATAACAGCACATCTCCAAACCCCCAAAGCACACCTGCAGGCCTGAGAGGCACTTTATCTTTAAAATATTGCAAAAATTACCCAATTCATCAGAGAGAGAAACTATAAAAACATAAAGAGTTGTTGGATTTTCAACTCTGCGATGTCCATGAACTACTCTTCTGTGACTTGCTGAATCTAAACCCACTGAAATCACTTTATTCTTCATGTCTCAATTAAAAACTCGCCATAAAGAAACCGTTTGCTCAAACAAGATTCTGTTAAAAACAAAAACTCTGCTTGTCTCTGTGCAAACAAAGGAGTGTTTGTGACTCAGCTGCCACCAAAAGTCATGCTGTAGAAACTCTGTTAATGTTCAGCTAAACCAGGATGAACTGCAGGTCGTGATGTCTGTGAAGGTTCTCAGTCCTCCAGGTCCTGGTTCTTCTGGTACATTAATCGTAGCAACTGCTTGAGTTCCTTGAAGACGTTCCACCTTCATCCAAGAGGCTTCATCAGCTCTGACTGACTGGTTGGGAGTTCCACATACTGATATCCTGAAGGAGACATTAACACCTGAGTTTAGGTTTCAGTTGGGGGTTTGTTGCTCCTCCCCCTCGTTATGTGGGTCGTTAGTGCTCCTCCTGCCACAGTGGGGTTCGTTAGGGTTTCTGTGTCTAGGTGTGGATGTGGGTTCATCTTCCTGGGGAGAGATCTGAGGACTGAACTGTAAACAGGTGAGAGGTGAAGCCTCAGACCTCCACCTCTGCAGAGGGATGGTCTTTCCAGGTGGACATAGATTCTTTCACTCCTCTCTCAGACCATCTGTCCTCCCTGGACAACATCTGGACGTTGTTGTCTTCAGAAGAGTGTCCGTTGTCCTTGATGCAGGTGGACTGCTGAGTCCCAACTAGTCAGTCAGAGCTGATGAAGCCTCCTGGATGAGAGGTGGAACGTCTTCAAGGAACTCAAGCAGGTCCAGGTGTTACAGCTAAACTCTGAGAACGCAGAGCAAAGATCAGACATGAATGAAAACAAAGCACAGCATTTTAATAGTTAAATATCTGCAGCATGCTGAGCCAAATAAATAATCAGACAAACGTTCTTCTCTTATGATTCATAGCATCACCACCGTGTCACGCTCCACTGAAGTTCTGACAGGTTCTGAATTGTCTTCTGAGTTGCACATTGAGTCCCAAAGCAGAAGATTTGTAAGAGTTTAAAACAAATGATTCTTTCTGATTTCTCCGTCTTCATGTCAGAGCAGCTCTGTTTTATTAACACCACTGACAGTCAGACTTTTAATCATGAGGATCACAGGCGGCACAGCGGCGCCACAGACAACCAGCCGGGCTTTCACCAGAACTCACTGATCTCATGCTGCTCCCAGTTACATCAGAAGTTCATACTGAGAACGTTTCACGATCACGCAAACACCTCGTTAAGAAAACACCAGCCGTTAATCACAAAATCCATCTTGACAAAACGGGTCACACTGACAACAGTTCCTCGTGTACGGTTCTGATGTTCTGGCTCTGATGCAACGATTGCAGTCGGTTTTGTGCTCATGTGATTCTGGAGGAAGTGTCCCCGGTTCGGCAGCAGCTGAGCTTTATCTTCAGAGGGTGCTGCAATCCGATCTATATTCATGAATTCTGTGTTCGACTGTGTTACAGCGTCACCCGGAGAAGGTCTTTCATTCAAACAGAATCTTATTCTAAAGAAGGTTTCTGTCGTCACCACATGAACTCAGAGCGAGGACACCGGCCATGCCTTACCAGCAGGAGAAAGGATTCAGTCTGCCCCATTTCACGCTGTCAATATCTGAGCTCTCTGTATCTGCATGATTAGGCCCTTCCTTTATTTCATTACGCCTGGTCTGCTTCACTGATCGCTGCCAAAAAGTTCTCAGGGTTCAAAATGTTGGAACCTCATCGGCTGTTCAGGCTGTTAAAGTGGGAACACGTAATCCCCACGAAACGCCGCATGATCCAAGAAGTTAGCTTCAGAGTTATGGATTAATGAATCTGAAGGCTTATCAGGTGCAAAACAATACTTTGCAGCAGTTCATTATTCAGAAACTCTGGGAGTTTGCATTGATGAGAGAATCACAGAGTAAACAGAGGCTCTGTTCCCATCAGTAAACCAGCCGCGCTCCGTGTTGTGTTGCTGCTGCAGCGTTTTCCTCGACAACGTTGTGTTGCACTGCGTCAAAAGTCAGTCCGACTTGAACTTTCTTGCTGGATGACCTTCTGGTCCTTTGTGCCCACTGGACCCACTGACCGGTTCCACTCAACAGAATCAGGGAGGCTACATGTCTCCCAGAGGGTTAAAGTTGGTTTCAGTTTGACCCTCAGGTTCGGGCCAGAGGCCGAGGACGACTGACCCTTTACAGGCAGACGGCATAAAGCTCTGGAGGGAACCGTCCACTTCACTTAGTGTCATGTTAATACACCAAGAAATGTGTGTGTGTTCTTTGGTTGTGCCGACAGCTGTTCGTCTGATCTCCTTCAGACTCGTCTGGTGTGCTGATGGGCACCGGAGGAAGAGGAGAGTTTGAAATTGTTTGGTTGGTTCTTGAGAAACATAAAAAGATAAACACCAGCATGCTTCGAACTCCCCACATCCCAACGTGGTCAAGATCCACAGAATCCTCTACTNTCTGTAGAGGTTCAATCACAGTATTAATGTTCTTTATGTTACAGTATTTCTGATGCTCCAGTTGCTGAAACAGTAAATTTTTAAAAACATTTTAGCAGTAAACATTCAGCAGATTAGTATAAAAGCTTTTATTTGATGTTAACGCCACTTTTATCTCTATTTTAATCTCCTTATTGTTGTCGTATAACATTCAGCTGACTCCCACAGCGCCCGACCTGTGAGCTGATCCTAACACCTGCCGTTAAACCTTCCAGCCGGTGACGCTGCAGAGAGGCTCTTTAAAGGTGAACCTGCTGCGCTGGGAGAGGCGGCTCACCTTTATCGACGTGTTGTTGTCGTCGATGAGCGTGTCGGTCAGCTCCAGGTGTCCCTCCTCAGCCACCTTCTGCAGCACCATGCAGAAGGTCCCGACCAGTCTGCAGGAAAACAGAGAGCCGCACGTCATCAACACAAATCAATGCAGTTGATCGGTGGCGTTATTGTGCTTTTGCCCCGTGTTCCTGCCCCTCTGTTTGAGCCCGTCTACAGTCTGGTTCAGTGACAGCTTTGCACTTTTCAGGATAAACACTGACACATTTTTCTGTCACCATAAGTTCTCCATCGCAGTGTTTCATCCCTCGGAGGCGACGAGCGATGAAGTAATGAACCAGAGGAGCAGAGACGTGACAGATAGAGAGAAAGTGACATTTAGCCACCAGTTCACAGCCTGTCAGGCCTCCACAGCAGGAGGCCCGGTTTAGTCTGTTCAGGGTCTCTCCTGGTGATGGAGCACATTTCAAACCTCAACACGCACACAGGAGGCGATAAATCAGCAACGTCTTCACATCTTTGTTCATGCTATTGTATATTATATTATTGTGTTTTATCTTTTATTATCTTGGAGTTTTGTAAACTTGATGAGCTTTTGCTGCTTGGTTTAGAGACGCATCTCTTCCTCCTGTAATCATGAACATCAGGCAGCGTGGTGGACAAACTACGGGAACTTTCTATAGGCTTAAGCTGCCGAGCAAAGGGACACATCTTCACCCATTTGATGCTCCAGTGAGTGTTTTTGCCGCTCATGGACAAAACCAAATGGGAGATCCTTTATTGAGGCTTGAGAACGTTTAACTTAAAGCAGAACTTTTGGTGAATTTCCATCCATCCATCCATCATCTATACACCTCTGAATCCTCACTAGGGGGGCTGGTAAAAATAAAATAAAATCTAATTAAATAAATAAAAATAAAAACAATAAATAATGATTTCTTGATTGGGCTGTAGAGTCAGGCTCAGAACCATGAATGTTTCTGGGTTTTCTATAGAGGAGCTCTGAGGCTGTTGGAGGGAGATTCTGTGAGAGGCTCAGCAGCATCCAGGCTGCAGCTGATCCCCTGCAGCCTGGATCAGAACCTTCCTACCAGGACAGAGTGCAGCGGCATTACTGATCACTGCCCTTACAATGGAAATACACTGAAGTTATATATTATTTATTTATTTAACAGAAATATTGGCATGTATATCATGCAAAAAAATAAAAAAGGGAACAAAAGCTTCATGGACTCTCCCCATCATCAGTGTGGTGGAGCCATGAGGGGAACCTGCTGGTTCTTTCAGCCCATGTAGGGTCCCATCCTGGAGCCTGAGCTCCCCTTTAGCTTCTCCTCCTCTCCTCTCATCTCTCTGCTGCTCCTCCACTTTGCTCCTCCGCCCCTCCCTGTCTGATGTTAGCTTAATGCTATCAGTTAGCTTATTCACGTTAGCGACACTGAGTTGGCCCCGGGCCCAGTTAACTTAAGCTACCTCTATGATACGAAACGTTAGCTGGCCATCAATGTTGAGCTAATGTCTATTTAAACCTGTAAAATCTATTCTGAGTTACCTTAAGCTAATAAGTCTACCTGTCCTCCGGTAAGTCGCTGCCCTGTTCTCCAGGANAGTCAGCTGGGATAGACTCCAGCCCCCCATGACCCTGGTGAGGATTAAGCGGTGTATAGATGATGGGTGGACGGATTCTGATTCTAACACTATGAAGCCACTGGTAAACCCTCGACGGAGCCCATGGGAGTCACTGACCTCGAGGTAAAGATACTGAGTGGTACAGCCTCCTGTCTGCTTCACTGCTCAGTAACTCACACACAGCCAACGCAGAATATGAAAGCATATCTTTCAGCCCCGGGGGGGTAAAACAGACAATAAAACATGGTCTATATGCACTACAGCGCAGGGACCATCACGCATCACTGCCTTCTGTTTGTGTTGTGGTAATACGATCGCACGTGCGGTCGCGGGTGTGACACACTGGCCTCACAGTGTGTTGGTGCCTCCGGCGAAGAAGTAGATCAGTTACCGTAATAATGATGCAGCCGGTGGACAAACAGTGTGCAGCAGGTGCAGGAACAACACAAGTTATGGCTCTTCATGAATTATTTACCCACTTAAATGTGTGTCAGCTTGTGCTTATGTGCAAAGAGTTCTCGTGTACGTGCACATGCATTAGTCTCTGGGAAAACGTTGCTGTTCGTGCCCCTTTTTGCTGTTTCTCTACATTTTTCATGGAACACAAGCATTCATTTAATGTTTTTATTGGCCGGTTGTAGCACCAGCTGCTTGAGTTTACCACAGCACAATAATGAAAGTCAAGAGCAGCTTGAAAGCCTGGCTCCAGACCTCTGAATTACTGCCTACCATCTCTGATTTTATTAGTGATTAAAGTTGATCTGATCTTATTGATTTTTTCTTTTCCAGGGTTGGAAAATCCTCCTGACCAATGAGAGCTGTGGAGGTGAGATTAAGACTGGAAATGTCATCTTCCTGGACCAGAGCCAGAGAGCAGCGGTGGAAAACAGCGTGGATGGTGAGTTGTAGTTGTGCAGGTTGATGTATTTATTCATTTGATGTAAACAAAGCAGCCTGCTAGCATCACCATAGCCCCTATAGTGATGTTAGCAGGCTGTAGCTGTTCAGCGGTGCTCTGAATCAAATGCTAATGTAAGTGTGGGACCCACAGTAATGCTGGACGTATTCAGAACATACCCCCACACGCCTATTTATTACTTTATGTTGGGTCATTATTGCTTTGTTTACTCATAATCGGATATCGGGATTTACAACTGTAATTTTTTAGCAGGTCGATCTATGGGTATAGTCAGTGAAGGTCACACAGGTCCTTTGGGAAGCCTGTGGGTAAAGCATAAGGAGCATATGTGTTATTCAGGAGACTCCCAACATCCTGCAATATGCAATATGCAGCCGTGTTGTGCTAATGTGCTTATGTTTCTGTATTTCTGGGTAAAGCAAAAGTGGCAAAAACATGCATAAAACATAACAAAATGAAAGCATAATGAATGTGTAAGAGCTATAGACTGCTCCAAATGCTAAAATGATGTTTATACTGGACTTGTAAGTTAAATGAAAGAGCACATCTTGTGAAACAGTGCTTCATCGAGCAATTTGCTAACAAGGGAATCAGTAGTGTAGAATAGAATAGAATATTTTTTTAACTGATTTTTTTTATTGATCCCCCATTGGAGGAAATTAAAGGCCACAGCAGCATCCAAAAACTATAGAAAAGAAGTCGTAGGAAATAACAAAAATTAAGTAAGTCATACATGAACAGGAGCCCAACTGAAGCAGACATTCAGACCCCTATCATGCAGCCTGTACGTTAGATGCTATATTCCATATAGAATATCTTGTCTGCATGATTTCCCTGATCTGATGCTTGTGAGTGCTGACAGATAATCAGCTGCGGTTAGTGTATTCATCTGGTTGTTTCCCTCTATGCACTGCAGGGCTAGCACTATGGCCACTAGCTCTACTGTATATCCTGACAAGTCATCTGTTGTTGTGACGCTGTGGGTTGAAAAAAATGCAGCGACTGTGCATCCACTCTCAGGGTCCTTGAACCCATCGCTGAATACTTTTGTCTTATCTGCAAAACGCTGCTCTATACAGCTTTGATCTGCTACCAAGAAGGTATCTGCTCAGACTTTTCGGTTATCTCCTTTGTATTTGCATATCAATAGATCGTAAACTGACAGGGATGGATGGTCAGATGTGGGACTGTTGGACAACACTGGATTTGCACAACCCTACATTTCCTGCTTTTACACTCCCAATCCATCTGAAACTCACACAGTCGTTTTTAATGTGTTCCCAGAGCTCCTGCAGGGTGGCCTCTGCAGGCTGTGGATTGCTATGTCCCTGCAGGTTAACTCAATATGTCAGCATTAGTTGTACTCTCCTAATAGGCAGTGGCATCTGTCCTATTTCAACCTGCATGGCTGCTACTGGAGATGTTTTGATTGCCTGACTGAGTGTTCTCAGGGCTTGGGTTTGTTCCACGTCTAGTTTATTCGAGCTGACTCTCTGACATGTAACTTACACAGCCATAACCCAGTATAGCTCCCATAAGGGCCCAGTACATATGCAGCAAAGACAATGTAGGTCCCCCGAGTCCTGTCCTGACAGGCAACAAAAAAGATTGCTGATCTTCTTGGGTTTTGTTTTAACTGCATCTATATACTTTTTCCACGTGAGTTTTTCATGCAATAGAACCCCAGGAACCCGAACCACCTGACCTGCTCCAGGGTTTGTCAGTACAAAAGTGATCTACCTCGTCTACAACAACATCCATCCACAGTGGTGCTAAACACTGAGCCACCTTTCAGCCCCTACAACAACACAATACCTTCTATTTGTCCATTGTTCAGCTGCCTTACTGCTGTTTTTTCCTCTAGATTTCAGCCCCTAATCCAGAAGACCCGTCATTCACACACAGCGACCTGCCTCCTCCTTGTTCCACTCGTTCCACAATGTCATTAATATTATAATAAACAGTGATGGACTACAAGCGCTACCCTGTGGGGGGTTCCTTCTCAACTGGGTATATGCTAGAATATTTATTACCTACTCTGACTTCTACTGTTTTATTAAATAAGAAGTCAGAAGTACACACCTTATGTACACTGTTGGAATGATTTTTGTTATCAGACACATTCCTCTTTAAATTTCTATTTATACACATCAGTAACCACTTCTGACCGAGCAACAAGAATTTTGTACCAAGTGTCACAGTAATCCATTCTGTAGTTTTTGAGATGAATCTCGATAAAACAAAAACGGTGGCGTTCCAAGAAAAGTTGGAGGATCACAAAATTCATGAGGTTAAATCCTCTAAAGACCATAATGTCAATGCAAAATTACATGGTGGTCAGTCCACCGCTTGTTGAGATGTTTTTTTTCTAAACCAAAGACTGAAACATCTCACAGGCCAATGCTGTCACCCCGAGGGCCGATCGCTTCCAGTCCCTTTATCAAGCAAGTCATCCTGCAAGCTGTAAGCTGCACTAAACTTCCTGACCTCGTACCAAATGTGTGGCAGCGAAGTGTTCGACCTGTCTCTGTCCGTTTGGTTCTTCCACACGGTATCACCACCAAACCCTTGATGGCAGTTAAGCGCCGCCTTGATGCAGAACTGATATAACATCCGTCTGCACACCTGTCACTGGGTTTTAGCTCTGGGCCATCTTTGTAAGTGGAGGAGAAATGTGTCATCACATGCACACACAAACACAATCGCACACGGCAGACATGATAAGGTCACACAGATAAAATATCAGGACAGTAGCGCACACGCGAGCAGAACCACCTACGTTCATACACAGAGAGATACGAGTGTACTAAGTTCCTGTGACTGCGTGGGTGTAACGTTTCCTTCGTCTGGACTGTAAATTGTGTAAAAGACACACAAGTCTGTCCAGAACAGAAAAACACAGTCGCTGTAACCATCCAACTGAATTTGCTGCATGCACAGGACATGAACAAGCTTCCCTCCACGACCAGCCAAGACTTCTCACACCTGCACACATCAGCCTGCAACGCACAATAGTGTCTGAGGGAGACAAAGAAGAAAACAAATTAGAAAAAGAAAAATAATGAGGTGCACGGAGCGAGGAAAATGACTTAATTCCTGCACAAAGCCCCCCACAAATGACTTTGACACCTTATCGTAGGTGTGGCTTGCTGGCAGAGCAACAGCAGCTCCTCTCTTCACAGAATCTGCTCAGACACAGTCTGGTGCGTAGAAGCAAATCACAATTCCTGCATTTATGGGAGTCGAGAGGAAGAAAATAGACGTGGAAGACTAAAAATACTATTTGCTTGCGCACGAGGAAGCCGCTAACTGCTACGTGGCCTTTGGAGACGGCTGGATTGATTGAAATAGGAACATATGTGTTTCCTCTGACACGCGTGGGACGGGCGACAGAAAAACGTGGCTGCAGCGCCTTCTTTGCAGAAAAAACTGTTGGAAGTGATTAGCGTCTCGGTGCGGCCTTGAATCAGGTCTGTGCATTGCTCAACAGCACTTGGGCGATGAGCGTAAAAGCGGGAAACGCTCTCCCCCGATGCTGTCAGTAAAAACATACAAATGATGACAGCAAACTGCAAACAAATCAGTTTAGTGTCATTTTTGAGGAGTTCAATGAGTCACACAATCAAAGAGCAATAACAAGTGCGATGTACGGTCTGCCTCGCTGTTTACACAAATATTCAGCGCTAATCTTGGCTGATCTTGGCTTTTCTACTTTAATGTTTACAGTTTTGCTGTAGTTACACTTATATTGTTCTTATTATTTATGAGACTTTTTAAAAACTGGGACCTGAGAACTAATTTCGTACCACAAACATGTAAATGTGAGCTGGCGTGACAATAAAGTTCCTTGAATCCTTGAAAAATCAGATTCACACATTGCAAATCATTTTTAAAAAAGGTTCTCCATGAGATCCATCTTGTGTCGTCCACCACGGCGCCCCGTGTGCGTCTCATAGTAGTTTGGTGACAAACGTGCCCGTTAGGCTCTAACGCTGTTTCATTTCCTCTGTCCGCCCCCCTCCCCACGTCAGACTCACTCATGGCCAGCTCTGTGGTCTGCAGCCTGCTACACAGACAATCGAGTCAATTTAGAACAAGCTCTTGGGGAATTTAAGCTTTTACTCCTTTAGCTGAAAAACACGCGCCGTGTGTCAGCTTCAATCGGTCAGCGGCTGCGACAGGAAGGCAGGCAGGGCGCTGAAACCACAAACTGTTTACTCTGCCGCCGCTGTGACGCTGCTTGGTGCGGTGGATGTTGTTCTAAGGGAAGGTGGGAGGCGGTGCACTGCATCTCACCTGTTGGAGAAGACTTTGCTGTAGTTGTAGATCTGGATCTCGAGCATCTCGTTTCCATCCAGCCTGCTGGCAATGGGCCATCGAAACATCTGCAACAGACACAGATTGTAAAGAGTAGAACATGAAATACAGGTAAAATATCAGGCAGGACAAGGCAAACACAGGTAAAAACAAAATAATGAATAAAAAGTGTATGCATGATGTGATCTATACAATACAATCTATAATCCATCTACACATAATGACGTACAGATTGCTTTTTGTGTTGTCTGATTCATCAGTTAGTTAGAAAATCAGTCATATCCACTGTGATGTCCCTTTTACAATAGTTTAGACCAGTTAATAGTGTTTAAAATGGTTCTATTCCTCGTCATTGATTTTCTTTTATTTGCCTTTTTTTGATGTGAACTGATGGAACAAGCAAACCTCTAACATGTCTGTTTGACAATTAACTTAAACAATTAATAATTATCAACATTATTCCTCAGTTTCTTAATATTGATCCTGAACTCTGTCACTAGTCAATGAAAAAGGAAAAACAGTCTAAGATGTCTTTTATAAACAGCTCCATGCTGAGGAGTTGGATGTCCAAGTAGAGCCAAAATGGTCAGTATGAAGAAATCACATGTGATACCATGATGCAGTGTTTTTGCATTTCTATTTGTGAGCTTCAGAGGAGCTGATGGGCAGAATGAGTTTGGATGGAGTCATTCTAACAATCATTTACATTATGTACTGCTCACCTAAAAATTTAACAACAAGATAATCAGCAGTCGTACTCAGCGTTCTGCTTTTTCAGCTCTGCTCTCTCAAAGTGCCTTTGAAAAACTCCAAAGCCTCCACATCTTCACACATGTGGAGACATAAGGATGTTTTTCACTCCCCTCGCTGTGGAACCTCTCTCAGGGACAGTTTTGGAGGAGAAAAAAGTACCTACTCAAAGACGGGTACTTCAAAGCAGCCCTGAAAGAACCGCAACAAGACGAGACAGAAAACCAGACAACAGGTGCCATTTTTCTGCCTCTTCCAAGTCCTCATTCAGCTGCAGTCTCCCATCATTGATGTAAAATTAATCACAAAACCCTCCGTTGTCTAGTTTTCGACATAAAACTGGAGTTACATTCAGTAGCTACTGTTTTATGGTGGCTGACGGGGGCATGCACACAAACGAGCTGCAAATACAAGAATGCTTTTCATAAACAGCTGCAAAAGGAAAACGCTGCATATCCAGTTACACAACGGAAGTTCCCCTGGCCTCTAGGGGCAGTAGTGAGCTTTTCACAACAACAGAAGATGAAACCTTTAGTCTGACGACTGTTGTCTTTCATCCATAAAGGTTTCTATCACCATCCACACCTCCTGCCTCCTAATGTGGACTCTGTTGGTCTTTTAAGCTACATTCTCACCCCGTCAGACCTGCACAGAATCAGTCGCCTCGCGTTCTGGACTATCATGTGTAAACAAAGCGGCATGTTGCTACCACATGACGCAAATCACGGAACAGGATTGGCTGGCAGTGACACATTGCTCACGTTGCACAAGTGATTTCTGCGGCTTCTTTCTGGTGTTACCGCTCACATGCACGCTGACGATCTGTAATATTATATGTTACATACATGTAGAAAACAACTAAATGGACCGAGCTAAGCAATAAACCCAAAATCAGTATGTTATCATGTGGTAGCGTAATTCGGGCTGTATCTCGGGTATAAGGTGCAATGATTTCATGCAGATGTGTCACATTTACGTATTTAAAAACCAACGTGCTTTCCCTTCAAACTGTATCTGAGAATGCAGCTTAGTTGTACATGAATGTAATTTTGTGGCGACATGGTTGAAATACTACAGAGGTGGGAAGTAACGAAGTACAAATACTTCATTACCAGATTCATTTTACACAAGTATCTCTACTTCTATTTCAGTAAAGAGTGTCCTCTCTGAAATACTACACAGACATGACAGCAGCATCTATCTTCTCACCCAACTCTTAAACATTGCTTTATTCCTTTCAGTCCAGGTCCAGATTCAAGGCCTCATGTCAGCATCCATCTGTTCCTCTGCAGTAGCCTTGAGTTTAAATCAATCCCTACCAGCTACAAACGTACTGGGAAAGAAAAAAACCACAATGTTTTATTTATTACCATAAACATCTCTAGGTTATACTGCGCCAACTAAGAATATTGATGACCTTTTTTTTTTTTTGCTATGAGGTAAAACAAGAAAAGCAGGAGCCAAGCAAAACTGTATGGTAATGAAGTCTGGCCTATCTTCGAGCAAAAAAGCTCAGGTTGTGGTGAGTGTGAGAATCTCTTTGAAGGATAGCTCCTGCTTTGGCATTTCACTTTAATTAGCTCAGTTTGGAGGGAATCAGGTAGCTTCATGGAGGCCGCTCTGACAGGAGAAGCTTAAAAACAGCTTTATTTTTGCATCATTTTTACCCGAAACCTCCTCAGTGATGTCTTTACTAATGACTAATTGGCTCTGTCAGACTGAGCAGGCACTCACTACTTTGCTTTATTTTACATCAGCAGCTCATCTCTCACGAAGGGCCGGTCGCATGGGAGTTATTAACGTAAATTTTTATCAGTGTAGAGTTAATTTGGCAGTAGTAAACAGATAAATGAGCTGTAATCACTCAGCAAGCTCAGTAAATGTACTGCTACGGACCAGCTTCACCATCACAACAAAGAAATTCATAAAAACGGCTTTGTAAAGGATTAAAAATATAATAAAACAAGAGTCATAAACATACTCAGCATAACAGTTAATCCACTTCTGAACAGCCAATAAGATCCGACTTGATGATCTGTGAAAAGGCTCTTATGGGATGAAATGATCTGTGATATAACTGTGTGTATCTGCCAAGCTGGTCCCAGCTGATGAGGAATTCTTGGAACTGCATTATTGACTTTGTCTAGTTAATGAGTAGAATTAGATCAATATGAAAACGCAGGTAGTGCACACTCGTATATTTATCAGCAGGATCAGAACCAGAAATACAGTCGATAGTCCGACACTAAATGTAAAACCTTCTGTTATGGCGGATAGCAAGGCTGTCGGACTGTCAAGACGGAGGTATTGTTCAGTCAGATAATACGCCGTCATCCTGATTGGTGACATTAAATGTCATGTCGGAGTCAGATTCCAACGCTGTCGCTATGTTAAGGCTGTTTTTATGGGTTCTGTTGGTTTTTCCTAAAAAGAATAGCAGGTTTAGGATTGTTAAGGGTCGGATTAGAGTCATGACTGTACTTTTGGTCCCCGAGGAGCAACTGCTTATGTTACAGTTGCTCCCATTTGTGTGTGTAGGTGTGTGTGTGTGTGTGTGTGTGTGTGTGTGTGCTAGAAATCTAAGCAAAACCGAAACAAACATGAGAAGAACAAAATGTCCTCAAGTATCAGCATATGGGGTAAAAATGTATATTGTTCATATGGTAGATTTTAAAGCAGCACAAATTAGATGCGAGGCCAGAAACGTACAATCAGTTACATCATTTAAAGGCTGACAAAGTAAAAGATACGGAGACTTAACATGAGCGTGAATCAGTCCAGCAGTACAGTAGTTAGCTTTACAGCGCTGAAGCAGCGTTGTTGGTGCGCCGGCAGCTGGAGCTTCAGGGATGGAGATGGAGGCAGGGGGTCATTTACATATTCATAGATCTGCTCACATTCCAGGCAGCAAAGAAGGGATTATCTTTAGAGAAAACTTTGATAGACAGAGATGAGCTTTTAGGGGTTTAGTTACTGCCAGAAGAACAACGTTAATGAACCAAAATAAAAACACATGATCAGAGCAGTACGTTGGCATTAGCTGGTGTTGTTTGATGTCAAACAGGCCACGTGTGAGCACAAGAAGGGAAAGAGAAAGAAAGAGAAAGAGAAAGGCTGCAGGAAGTGTACATGTTCTCTGTTTCTTCTTTTCTTCTCTTTTATCCCAAATTATCTGTCATCATTAATGCAACAATTTCAATATTTCTGGAACTATTCTGCAGTTAAAAAGAAACGAAAACAAGCTCGAACAAGCAACTTTTAACCTCTAATTAAAACTAACTTTAGCAGGGAAATGGGAGATACATCCACGAGCTCTCCCCAGGTCTGTCGCTGCTGGCTTTACATCGCAGGAGGGGGAATTACTCTTATTAATTAAGCTGGGTACTTAAGGGACTGGCTTTGCATTTGAGAATTCTAAAATATTCAGCAATTCATGCAAAAAGGAAAATAGGATCGATGTGCAAAAAGAAACCGAGCAATTCCTTTTTACAAGTCTGTTTAGGAGGCATTAACATGTGCATTAGTCGGACACCACATTGCGATGCATTGCTCAGCTCTTCTCGGTAATTAACTGTGACAAGGCTGCGAGTTGAGCTTCCGAAGGTGATGAATTTATGCGTCGCTCTGCTACAGTATCATGCAAAAGAGGCTGAGCGTACGGATAAAGGTTGCACAGGTGATTTAAAACTCATTCACCTCCTGCTGAAGTTCGGGAAAAACACTGCAGGCTGTCAGACGAGAGATCCATCAGGACCGTCCCATTAGCAGACCACGGGGTTCCCACCTGCTCCGGTCCGACCTGCCGTCAAGGATCTGTGGCCGTGTGTGTGTGTGTGTGTGTGTGTGTGTGTGTGTGTGATACGCTGCATTAAAACATCCTTGTGTGCTCTCAGCCCTGAGGATCTACCGTCTGGGGTTTCTCCTCCCAGCACAAGCAAGGCCAGTTCTGCTGCCTCTTTCTAAGCTTCTGTCTTTTCACGGCCTCAGAGTGAGAGTCCTTGGCGGAGATTACGGCTAATACAGTCGTACCACATTTCATTTACAGCTCCAGCTCCTCCAGAGAGGAAAGGGAAGCCCCAGCGTGGCGCTAATGTCACACACACAGCTAATGGAGGAAATGACACCTAATACACACACACACACACACACACACACACACACACACACACACACGCTGGAGCTCAAATGAGAAACACCACGATGTGATTATGTTTTGTTTATCCAACACCAGAGACGTTGAGCAGCCACAGAGCGAGAGAACCGCAAATTTTAATCTGCGCCTGCACCGACGATACCAACATGAGCGCTACATGTGCGA